CATAAAACTTTCCAACTTATTTTACAGTTTAATAACTTTAATTCGTTTGACATACGAAAGTCTGCCGACGTATAGCGAGGCAAAACAATACCCGTCTACGGCGTCAGCGTAACTATATAATTAGTCTGACAGTTACTGTGGTTAACCACAAGAGTAGTGCTCTGGGCATTTAATAGACAAATGAGTTAATGTTACTATTTGTAACATTGTTCATAAATTATAAGTACTTTACTGTAATTTAAAATACTAGAAAATGTCATTATCATCATCATCATCATTACAGCCCTTCACAAGTCTGTTGGCCTCCCCAAAAAATGACACAAAGCATGGTCCAGAGCCACCTGCATAAAATGACTTCCTGTATGTCTTACCAGGTAGTTACTCCATTTAGCGGGGGGATGCCCTACGCTTCGCCTGCAGGTACGAGGCTGTTACTGGAGAACCTTTCTTCCCCATCGGTTGTAGGTTCTTCGAGCTATATGGCCGGCCCATTGCCAATTCAGCATACTTATTCTTTGGGCTATGTCGGTTACTTTGGTTCTACTGCAGATATCCTCGTTTTTAAGTCTATCACGCAGAGAAACGCTGAGCATAGCCCTCTCCATCGCGACTTTGAGCATCTTCATACGGCCAGCAGTGAAGAAAAACGTCTCAGATCTATAGGTATCACTGGCAACATGCATCGGTTGAACAATCTGGTTTTAAGGTATGTCTAATAAGAAGATCGAACGCTGACGAACCGAGTTGAATACGTCGATTGACCTCTTGGTCGAAGTTGGACTTACCTAGTCGGACTATTTGTGCCCGGTAAACATTTTCGTCAACAACTTCGAGCTTAGTGCTCCCAACAAATACCGACATAGGTGTGGCATGGACGTTAAACATGATTTTTGTTTTGTCCATGTTCATCTTAAGACCTATCCGTTGGGAGACACTATTGAGGTCAATGAGCATAGTGCTTAGGACCTCCAGCGATTCTGCCATAAGGACTATATCGTCGGCAAATCGAAGGTTAGTGATGTACTCGCCATTGACCTTCATACCGTATCCTTTTATACGTGGTAGAGCCATTATGAAGCTATATTTCTGGTATAGTTGTAACACGAATGGGTCGGCTCGATCGGGGAAGGACCACGCTCTCACAGAATACCAGCGTAAAATAGCAGCTTAACGCTGCAGTGTTTCGTATGGTGAGTGTAGAGAACCGGAGACCCTTTTTACTGGAAACGAGGCATTCCATCTCAGTCCTCACGGATGACAACGCATCTGCATGTTGATACGCAATCGAGGATAAATGTAGATGTCTATGGGCCACAGCAACCTAGGCCACAGATCCTATTTTTACCGGAAAGTGTGGTGTGACGAGGAATACTAAACATAGTTTTCTTGGTGATTCTAGTACGTTTTATTTGTACATTAAACGTGACAGTATTCAGTAAATCCGGACAGTCAATACCGTATAGAAATCCCATATCTAACAGTTTTCGTCTTTCTTCAAGCGTAAGAAGGTTATAGTGTCGGCAGTCATCTAAATATGATGAGCTATTATGTTTAAATTTATAGTTCAGGTGTGAAATAAATTTACGTTGAATTCTTTCAATATTGTTAATGTAAATTTTAAAAAACCGTGACCAAACCTGGCATGCATACTCAATAGTGGATCTTACATACGAAAAATTTACTATTTTAAGACTTAGTAATTCCGTAAATGGAAGACATGTGCGCATGACAAATCCAAGATTACGAAAAGATTTACTACATATACTATTGATATGATCTCGCATGGTCATGCCGGCATCAAAGAGTACGCCTGAATCTCGAACAACTGTGACCCTCTTAATTAAAATTCCATTAAAATTATAGAGAAATATTATTGGATTCAGTTTTCTGGTGAAAGATATACACTGACATTTAGATATACTTACATTTTTGCCGTTGGCTACGTAAAAGTTATATAAAGAGGCAAGATCTTTTTGAATAGATTCGCAGTCTTCAATAGTACGAACACTGAGAAATATTTTCTTATCATCGACGTACAGTAAGTGATGGCAGTTACTTATATATTTATGTATATCAAATTTATATGCGTTGTAGAAAAGGGGGCCAAGATGAGAGCCTTGAGGTACGCTGAAGACTTTGAAGCCCTAGTTCCGCTCGATCGCTTCTTCAATACGAGCAGTATTTTTGCCACGAATAACTAGAAGATTTACGCGCTGTAGCGAAGGTATAGCCGTGACGCGAGAGCGTGCTCGACTGAATGCGAGTCGGGCAATTACCTGACTTTCGTATTGCCATTTTAGAGTAAGTATGACGTATCTAAACTTTTCAAAACATCTTAGATAATAGCTACCAACCTAATCACAGAAGTAAACGCACAAAGTGTGAACGGGCTTTACTGCTACGTCGCGTCGTCGCACCGCTATGACTTCAGCACATTGAATGTCATGCGGCTACACGCAACGTGACGCCGTTTATTACAACGTCACAACGTCGAGACTCTTTTGTGTTGGGTGTATCAATCCTTAAATGACGACAGAGTGAAGTAAGCACGTTGCTCTGTTGTTGCTATAACGCCAAAACAAACGTTACGAACTTAATATCAAACATTGAGATGCAGCTCCAACGTGCACTGCATAATTCCTCGCCGCTTCGTCTCTCTGGTCCACTTGTCCGTTGTGCGTGCGTTGTTTCGCCGCGACGTCGCAACGAACCGGTTAATATGTCACTGTAATTTATATGTAGAACGACGCAAAGCAACGCCAACGCATCGTGTGGCCTCGTCCTAACTTGCTTTTGTGCTAATTTTCATGTTACTGGTGGAACACCTCTACGAATGATCGGAGTTAATCACATCGCACCTATGTACATAACAATGTTTGTGTCTCACAATAAATGTAGAGTCCGTCTCGGATTCAAAACGAGAACTCGCGATGATTGTCCAACCACTAAGTTTGCCATTATAACGTAGAATAAATCTATGGTAGCTCAAACTCATTCGAACATTTTTAGATAACAATTACTAACAGCTCATGAAAAATTCTCTTTAAAATTTATTCCTGCTAATAACAGTTACTCGTATAATTTCTTATAACTGAATCAGATGTGTGGTGATGGTGTACGAGAATCAACCACCGCATTTTGTACCGTGAATGTCGAAAGAGTAAGAAAAGAAACTATACGAAATGCCATAAAAAATTCATGATTCATTCCGATAGACGGTCGTATATACTTAGTCGGGTCGTAAGTTCTGTCAAAACCTTATTTTTTAAAAAAAAATTGAATACTGGCTAGATGGACTTCACCAATTTTAAAAATATTGCGCTTGCGGAAAATAAAAAAGACATTAATTTTCATTCATTTTCAAATATGGAGTGGTCGAGAAAGAAGATAGAGTAGCGGTTATCGCGTTGCACCGCCGTGGTTACGCGCCAAAAGAGTTTTCTACAAAAATTTAAAATAACCCTACGATTAATTTATTGCACTATCAAACGATTCACTAAAAATTCAAGCGGCGAAGGTCGTAAGAGGACCAAACGACCTCGTACAGTTAGGACACCCGCGATCATCAAAGCAGTGAAGGCGCATATCCAACGGAGTCCTGTTCGTAAAAAAACAATCTTAGCTCTTCAGATGAGTGATCAATGAAGACCTAGGACTATGAGCTTATTGTAAGAAGACCGGACATTTATTAAACGAGCATTTGAAAAAAAAATTAGGCTGGATAGATCCCGCGCTTTGTTACGGCGGTACGCGGGAAAAAATGCCGCGAAATTTTGTTTTTGGATGAAAAAATTTTAACATCGAAGAAAGTTATAATAAACAAAATGATAAGGTGTATGCCCACAGCAGTTAAGAAGCCAGCAAGCGTATTCCGAGGGTTCAACGTCACCAGAACGACTAAACGTCATCCGAATTTGGAATCTCAAAAATTGTTATCTTAATTAAATTACCTTTCATTTCATATATAATTATCAAAAAATGTAGCATTAATTTTATAAAATGTTATTGACAGAACTTATGACCTGACTAAGTATTATCACCATCTAAGTCATATGTTAAATGCTCTGACGACGGCGAGCAGTGTCAAAGGTGCGAGACATCTAGTACTTCAATCAATAGTCCACCTGCCAAGTTCTTATTTGCCTATATCCAGTAGTGAACTGTCTCATAAAAAAGAATAAAACTAGTCAGTGTGGGCTAAATTTACATATTCAATTAAAATTTAACTACTATCATAAAAATAGCAAATAAAATCAGGTTCAAAATACGCTTCGTCATTTGTTACTTAGTTGTGAAAAATATAAGGTCTACATTCATTTGACAATATCATTTGAAATTCTGCAATATTTAAAAAAAAATAAAGAAAAATTATTGAATTGAGAAGTTGAACTTTATATTTGAAATTGCTAGATTGGTTTTTAATGATAACTATCAATAAGGATCACCACAAATAGAAATAATTATGCTCGTTTTTAAGTGATTTATTTTTTATTGGAATCCATACCAACTTTAATTACCATTTACATAAAAAAAAGCTTAACAAAATTTAAACTAAAACATTATGTATCGAAAAGATATATTAAGTTTAACATACACACATCATAATAATATTTTGTGATTATGTTTTGATTTCTACCAAAGTTTTAAGTAATGAATCCTTATACGTCTAAAAAAATTTGAAATGTATGTCCTTGTCTGTAACTGTTTCAAATGTCAATATTAAGAAAAAATTTTTATTGTTATAAATCCAAACAACATAAAATGGCAAAAAATTAAAGTTGTATTTCTTCTAAGCGTCTATTCCCTAAGAGTATTATTAAGAATGAAAGTATGACGAAAACGTCCGATTACTCCTGCACAAAACTTCAATTTTTAAGAAGCTTTTTCATACCGTAAACAAGAATATTGCCATTTCTTATTCTGTTTTTTTTTTGAATACAAATATTTTAATGGATTTCTCCGTATTCAAATCAGCAAATAATGACTTCAAACTTACTAAGTTAATTGTTATGCATTTGTGTAATATCCAAAACAGCAGAGGTCTTTATTGTGGAAGGCCCAGCTTCAAATATATTTGTAAGAGACGTATCAGATATTGATTCCAGTCTCGCCTTGTTTTTAAACATCAACGGCAAATGATTGCAATCCAACTTTTCCTGTAATAAAGAGAAGACAATATTAATTTTCTTTTATATGAAGTTGTATAAATATCTAAAGAAAAATTCTATATGTTTCAGTCGGAAGTGCAATATATTAAATTTTACCAAATTTAATAAAATAAGAGACCTTGACGTTACTATTGATACTAAAATCTTATTTGGTCAACATCTCGAAAATATCATATTAAAGGCATATAATTACGTCTCAAGCCTTGGTTTTATCATTAGATCCTTTTACAAATTCCATCGATGAAAATTTAATTTTGTTCACTAGTTCGAAGCCATCTTAAATAATCGTGTCAAGTATGGAATCTTCGATTTAAAATATACAATAATAAAATCTAAGCTATCCAAAAAACATTCATTCAATATGTATGCTCTGAATTCCAGATGCCTAAGGAAGGCTATGTGAATAGCGGCGTTCTCGTTTTTATCTCCTTCCGCTGTAAACTAGGGCGCAATATAGCTCATCTGGTTTTTAAGTAAAATTGCACAGAATCAAATATGCTATTTTGACTTATTAAAAAACTATACATCTCAGTATCTCCTTATTCACTTCGTTATAACGATCCCTTACTTACTTGTATTTGTGTAGTTATGTACTATGTACCTGTTTGGTTTGACAATATCATTGACAACTATTACGTAATGAAGAGACCAGAAAAATATTTGTATAAGAATAAGCAGGATAGAGATAGACATTATTAAATTTAGCACCAATTTTGTATTTTTGTTATTTACTATGGAAGTTGCGCCAGCTTGCATATTTTTGTAATAATAAACGACTACTGGAGATGATAAATGATTACCGTGCTTTTTATTTACTAAAAACTTTATAATTTTTCTCGAAGTAGGAGGCACTTCGAACTATGCTTGACTGCAGCAAGATATAAATAGGGTTTGAAGTGGAGCTGGGAAAACAAACTTTATTTTAACGTGAGCAAACGCTCCATTGTTATTTAGACGAGCACGCGTGCTACGTCATCATTAGTACGGAGAGCCGCTACAGCGTGTCATGGAGGTCAAAGATCTAGGTGTTCGCATCGTAAACAATTTGAAGTTTCGAGACCACATCACAGAGTCGGTAAGCTATCGTAATGAAATATCCGATTTGTCTTACGACAATCGGATGGAATGGATTCACCAACATTAACGCCTTGTAAGAATCTATACGCTTGATTTTGGGCTATGAACATTGCTATGATTTTGGGCTCCAAATAAAGATAATTATTAATAAGCAATGCTAAAAATTATTCAAAATATGTTGGCTTGATTTTTATGCTGTGTTTATTCGACTGTGTATCCGGGCTATCGGTTTTATCCTGCTGTATTGTCCTCGGTGTGGTAGTTTGTAGTAAAATGGAAGTAAGAAGGGAAGTGTCGCTTGCCACATACTTATTTAAGATACTACAGAGTAAGGTAAATAACTCTGCTATCCTCCAGGAGGTGAAGCTGTGTGTACCAGATTAAAGAACTGAGCGGCGGTGAGGCCCGCGGTTGCTGGCGGTGCGCGTGAATCAACTTATTACGCGCAATACTGCGGCCAAGCTAATTTGTTCGTATGCTCTCTAAACTAGTTTACTAAGACTACTTTGGTGTGTTTACTCTAAAGTAAGATTAGTGGTATTATAACTAACTAGCGACCTACCCCGACTTTGCTTGGATGGGATCATCAATGTGCCGTTATTTAGATTGAAGATAATAAAAGACTTTTCATTTTATCAATTTTCGTGTTTTATTTTCAAAAATAAAACTTTGAATAAAATATAGCCTAAATCCCACTTGGTATTGCTCTCTATCTGTACGTGAAGTTTCATTATAGTTGTTTCAGTCATTCCAAATATTAGCCCGGACAGACAGACAGACAGACAGCTGGCTGGTGCTCGAAACGTCGGAAATATAAAATAAGTTAATATACGAGTAGGCGATAAAATCCGTAAATTAGTTTTATTTAAATGTGTTCGCGTAAATATAAGAAATCATTAGTTTCAAACATAATAAATAAATTATAAATAATATTATAGTCACTAAACTGTCTTATGATATTTATTTAGTACTAGCGAACCGCCCCGGCTTCGCACGGGTGATTTCTAGATCTCGTAATATTCATGCTTTAATATTATATTTATGATTTGATATTTTTCTTTTGATTTGATATTTATGATACATTTATTTTATAGATGATTGGTGAGATAATATTTTGATGCTGCAACCAAGATCGCCCCAGCAAGAGTTAACTTTTACCAATTTTTTTATAGATTAAGAATGACAACTAACATACAGATCACCTTACAGTAAAGGGATGCTGCGGCCCATAGACATTACATCTATCCTCGATTAATAATCAAAATTCAGATACGTTGTCACCCCTGAGGACTAAGTGAAATGCCTTTAAAATGGGTCTCCAGTTCACAACACACACTACACGAAACAGCATTATTCTGTCGTTTCACTCTCGTATTTTGTGAGAGAAGTCTAAAGAAGTCCCGCCTCTTAAACGAAGTGATTATATTTTTTTTTTATAATATAGCTGTAGTAGCATGGCTCTACAACGTAAAATTTATTTACAACTAGCGACCGTGAGATCTATTAATGTGGCATTGCTTGGATTTAAGATAATAAAACTCTTTGGTTTTAAATTCATTTCTTCTATAAACTCTTCATGATTTTTGGATAATATATGACTTAGATCTTTCCTGCCATTGGTCTGTATACGTTCGTAAGCTTTCACCACAATCGGTTCTTTGGATAATATATCACTTAGATCTTTCCTGCCATTGGTCTCTATATGTTCATAAGCTTTCACCACAATCGGTTCAGCTTTTCTGAAGAGAATACCAAACAGACAGACAAACATTTTAAAAGTTATTTTTTAGGTTATAATAGTTCCTGAGCTTAATAGAAGCTAGTCAGACACTTTAATCTTATTTTAACGTATATTAATGGTAATAATGTAGTCTTAAAATTTGGAATGTAGGTTGAGACAGAATATATTTATTGCCCATTCCATCTAGGATCCATGTCTAACTTTAAAGTGCGATCAATTACTATAATTTTTGGATTAAGCATGTCTTAGATTTCTCTTGATATTGTTCTCTATATGTTCGTAAGCTTTCATCACAATTGGTTCAGCTTCTAAAGATGGATTGCAAAGATGGGAGAGAAGCGTGGAATTTTTGCCTTGTTGCTTGGGCCCTCGCAGCTGGTACAACAAGCGACTGGGGTATCTGATGTGGATGGGGACACAGCCAACTGCCTCGACCTTCTGCTGACGACCGATCCAGACAGGTACAATATTCAGGTTACCTCACCCTTGGGAACTTCTGACCACTGTCTAGTGAAATCTGTGTCGTTATATTCCCCACCTAACTACGATTTCCACGGTGTGCAACGAGTGTGGCGATACAAATCAGCAGATTGGGATGAGATGCGGCATTTCTTTGCATCTTATCCTTGGTGACAAGTCGGCTTCTCGTCTGAAGACCCGTCGAGCTGCGCGGATGCCATAACCGATGTGATACGTCAAGCGATGGAGTATTTCATCCCCTTTGCTGACGTGCCCATTGGTGGTAAAGTTCGCCCATGGTTCAACGCCGAGTGCGCTCGTGCTGAAAAGCACAAGCATATGACGTACTTATCCCGGGTCGATGCTCGAGACCGCAAAGCTCCGGATGTAAGCCTTAAGAAGAGAGGCTTTAACAAAGCATCCAAGTCTTGCAAAAAGGCATTACGGGAAGCCAGTTTCGACTGCATTAAACGCATCGGTACAAAGTTCTCTGTGAAACCATCTGGCAGTAGAGCTTTTCGGTCTCCCGCCAAAGCGGCCGACAAACTTCTGTCAGTCTACACTGCCTCCGCTGGTAAAACCAGATGGCCGACGGGCGTATGCACCTAAGGAGAAAGCGGACTTATTGGACTGTGGCGACTAACGCCGGTGTTCCTCAGAGATTCGTTCTCTTCCTGCTGCATATAAACGATCTCATCATGCAGACGACACCACAGTTGTGGAGAGATACCAGCCAAGTTCCCGGGCCAGTCGGGATCAAAGCCAGTCAGAAGGAGAGGCTATGGTTGAGCGTGTGAATCTCACACTACAGGCAGTCTCTGAATGGGGCGATGCCAATCTCGTGAAATTTAACGCCTCCAAAACACAAGCGTGTCTTTTCACTGCTAAAAGAAGCCCGCTCACCTTAGCTCCTACTTTCCGGAATGTATTCTTGGAGTACACTGACCGCCTTCAGTAGTTAGGGGTTGAATTTTCTCCGAACCTCTACTATGGGCGGTTCATTGAGTCCAGAGCCAAAGCAGCCGCAAGGAAACTTGGTGTCCTTACAAGATTGCGGCGATAATTCACGCCGGGGCAGCTTCTTACCTTATATAAAACGCAAGTCCGGTCGTGCATGGAGTACTGCTGTCACATATGGGCAGGTGCTGCAAAATGCCCCCTGGCAGCGCTAGTCTCAGTGGAGAGACGTGCTAAGAGGCTTCTTGGTGACCTTGATTTGGTGGGAACCAATCTTGTCAGCCTCGAGTACAGGCGCAGAGTAGCCAGTCTCTCGGTATTCTATAGGATACATTTAATTCCACCCTCGCCTTTCCACCATCGGACCACCAGGCGGTCGGCGGGTCTTCAACCCTTTGTTGTCGATATTTCACGCATTGGAACCAAAAGGTTTGTTTCGTCTTTTGTAATGCGTACAGCAAAAGAGTGGAATAATTTGCCGGTGTCTATCTTTCCGTCCGAATACAATCTGGGAGTCTTCAAGGCAAAAGTGAATAGGCTTTTGTTACGCTAAGACAGTGCGATTTACCATCTACCACCAGGTGGGATTGTGGTCAAGCACTGGCTTATAATAAGTAAAAAAAAAATATAAGTCCAAACAGAAAGGCAAAAATTTTATAAATTATTATTTATGTCTATATAATAAAAGCCATTTATTTCAATTTACATGACCCATATCGAACATTTATAGTGCTACGAATTACTATTTAACGTT